GAGTGAGAGAGAGAGTGAGTGAGTGAGTGCGTGTGTGTGAGAGAGTGAGTGAGTGAGTGAGTGAGTGAGTGAGTGAGTGAGTGAGTGAGTGAGTGAGTGAGTGAGTGAGTGAGTGAGTGAGTGAGTGAGTGAGTGAGTGAGTGAGTGAGTGAGTGAGTGAGTGAGTGAGTGAGTGAGTGAGTGAGTGAGTGAGTGAGTGAGTGAGTGAGTGAGTGAGTGAGTGAGTGTGTGTGTGTTTGAGAGTGTGTGTGTGTGTGTTTGAGTGTGTGTGTGTGTGTGTGTGTGTGTGTGTTTGAGTGTGAGTGTGAGTGTTTGAGTGTGAGTGTGTGTGTTACCTGCTCCGGTGTCCATCTCTCTCTCCTCCTGCAACGAGTCGATGTACTCCTGACTCAAAGTCTCGTCGGTGTCTCCGATGAGGTAGATGTTTTTAAAGCGATGATACAACATGGATGCTTTAAACATGATCGCCTCGCTGCCACGAAACCATCGCATCTGACCGCACACACACACACACACACACACACACACACACACACACACACACACACACGTTGCTCCATTACTCTGCACCAGTGAGTATCTTCACATATCTGGAGTAGACGTCACAGTGCATTGTGGTGGCAGAAAAACACTGGGAACAAGTGGAGGGAAACGGATAAAATCCATGGAATAAGAGAAAAAATTTTTTTTGTGACTTTGGATGTCAGAATCATAATGCAAATCATTTTTGTAGACACCATTTGAAGCTAAACGCAGATGTTTAAATGAACAGACTATGAATGAAAACTGCTATGATTACTCCACTTCCAATGCATTAATTTGACGCAGTTCACAGGAGACGTATTGTATTAGCCCTACAGTTACAGCACGAAATACTATTTAAACCTATTACTATTAACATATGTGAGCCTGCAGCACAAACGCAGTGTTAAGTCGCTGGGGGATATTTGTAGCAATAGCCAACAATACATTGTATGGGTCAAAATTATAGATTTTTCTTTTATGCCAAAAAATCATTAGGATATTAAGTAAAGATCATGTTCCATGAAGATATTTTGTAAATCTCCTACCGTAAATATATCAAAACTTAATGTTTGATTAGTAATATGCATTGCTAAGAACTTCATTTGAACAACTTTAAAGATGATTTTCTCAATATTTAGATTTTTTTGCACCCTCAGATTCCAGATTTTCATATAGTTGTATCTCAGCCAAATATTGTCCTATCATAACGAACCATACACCAATGAAAAGATTATTTATTCTTTAAATAAATATATATTATTTATATATACAATTTTATGTTAAAGTTGACCGTTATGACTGGTTTTGTGTTCCAGGGTCACATTTTACACAACATGTACCAATTTTTTTCCTCACAATTCTGACTTTTTTTCCTGCAAAAGGAAGTTTATATCTCCTAGTTCGGACTTCATAACTCGATTTAACTCAACAATAGCGAGTTTGTCAATTCTGAGGAAAAAAGCCAGAAGTATGGGATATAAGCTCATATTCTGAGCAGAGGAGAAAAGAGAGAATGACAAATTATTTTTCCTTATCAGGATTGCGAAATGTAATTTTGGAATTACAAGAATAGAAGTCAGCAATTTCGAAATATAAACTAAAATGTACCTTTTTTATTCTTTTATTCCATGGCTTCCATAGACTGCTACTTGAAATTGTCATTTTCTGCCACCAGATAGGCCCCGCCCACAAAAATGCGCCATCACTGTTTGCAAACACCGAACTGGTCTCTACGTACCTTTCTGAGCGTGTCGATGAGCTCGCTGTGGTTCTGAATGTTTCGAGACGAGACCGGGACGGTGCTCAACTCATCCAGAGCCAATAAACACTTACTGACATCCTGTGAGAGACACACAATAATCAATAATCACTGTGAGGTCAGTGAGCAGCTCTGAGAATTATGATACTGAACATTATAATATACTTTATAAATGATATTAAACGGGTTCATACTGGATTTTCGAGCGTCATTGAGATTCTGATGTCACCATGCAGCCGGTAGAGCAAAGAGTCTGTGACGGACAGAGAGTGAGCTGAAACACACACACACACACACACACACACACACACACACAAATAGAGATACACACACACACATACAGAGACACACACACACACACACACACACACACACACACACACACACACACAAACACACAGCTTTTTTTGTGTGTTGATGATTGTTAGTCAGTTTCAGGCAAGCTTACACAGGGCACCTAGAAGATTAACTAATGAATCGCACAGGCTGAGAGACACACACACATAGAGATACACACACACACACACACACACACACACACACACACACACACACACAGTGAGATACACACCCTCACACAGTTGGAGATACACACACACAGTTGGAGATACACACACACACGGTTAGATACACACACACACACGGTTAGATACACACACACACAGAGTTAGATACACACACACACAGAGATAGATACACACACACACTTACAGATAC